CCTCCATCCTCACCAATCCCATGGATGTCATACGAACCCGCGTGCAGGTAAGACTGGCCACTTGCCTCACCCTCCTCATGGAGAAACCATTAGAAGCATGACCTTCAAGCCCTCCAGTGTTGCCCTGACCTCTTTGTTTCCTGGCCCTCTAGTCCAGTCAGTCTTCTCCTGAACATCTAAGTCCCTTCTGTGTGCTTAGCATCTATAGAAGCCAGCCCACAGCCAGGTGCAGTGGCTCACTCCTGTAATCCCAGCATTTTGGGAGGCCAAGGTGGGCAGATCACCTGAGCCCAGGAGTTTGAGACCAGCCTGGCCAACATGGTGAAACCCTGTCTCTACTAAAAATAAAACATTAGCTGGGTGTGTTGGCATGTGCCTGTAGTCCCAGCTACTCGGGAGGCTGAGGCAGGAGAATCACTCGAACCTAGAGGTGGAGGTTGCATTGAGCCAAGATCACGCCGGTGCACTCCAGCCTGGGTGACAGAGTGAGACTCTGTCTCAAAAAAAAAAAAAAAAAAGAAGCCCGCCCAGCACTTAAAAGTACCTGGAATGCTTCTCACTCTGTCTGCTACCTTGCATACCTCTCCTCCATCACATGCCCATACCTCCAGGAAATCTTACTGGTTTCTTCCAGCCTTTACTGGAGTCCTGTTCCGTAGCCTATTAGCATAGCCTGTCAACAACTCTTTCCTTTACCTTGCAGGTTTGTGGTTATAAGAAATACTGATTTCAGTTAATTCGTAAGTCTGTCTGGTTTTTCCAGTAGGCCGTAAGTTCTCTGTGGATTATGAGAGTGACTTTTCTTAAATAGGTTTCACAGATTTTATGGTGTGGATGCAGCAAAACCCTGACAAAGCCCTTAGTAATGCCTGTCTTCAGTTAGCTTAAAGACAGTTACACAGCACTTAGACCAAGGAAATAGAATCTGAATGATATGTAATATGCAAATAGTAGGTGTTGCCATATGAAGTTTTATGTCTGATTTGAGGTGGAGAATCAAAGTTGTACAAGAGAATGAAGTCACTGGGTTATGGTGAGGGGAGGAGGGAAGGAAAATAACAGGTTAGGGATAAAATCAGCTTCCCTAGTACCAGGATGTTGGGAAGGAGATAAGTAATAAATATAGGTATTTTTGTTTCTAGGAAAGAATGCCCCCTCATTTGAAAATGAATACACTGGCATCTGGTTGGTTTGCAAATAATAAAGCACACAGGGTCAGTCCTCATTCTTTCCTGAGCTTTATTCTGGGCGGTCTAGGAGGAGATCCAAGGGAAAGGACAGGTCTCTACTTTGAGGAGCTTCCAGGCTGGAACGACCCAGAGGCATAGGTGAAAAAGTCCTTGACATGGCTGTGGAAAAAGTGGAAGGGTTAGGGAAGCAGAGATGGTCACAGGAGAGAGTATTGGAGAGGAAGAAGGGAGTGTGTAGGAGGGTGCTGAAGGAGGCGGGGCAGAAGCAGGAGATGTTCTTAGCCATGGCTGGGATACCTTGTGAAGGTCATATCATATAAGGGGTGGTATGAACAAGGAGTGCATCTGTCCTGTATTGGCCAAGGGGCTGAGGGGTGGTTTATAAAGGTATAGTTTAGGGGTCAGGGAGGGTGTGGAACTGTTGAGAAAGAAGAGAGAAGTGATTTCTGCTTGGCCAGGCTTTCAGTGTGATAGGGAAGATGCCTATATTTGTTCTTGGGGTGTGTGAGAGATGGCAGAGATGGAGAGGAAGGTTCCAGCTCTAGAACTTCAAGGGATTGAAATGATCAGAATCAAAATCAGACTGGCAGAGCTGCAGAGGGTCTTAGAGAGGATTTAACCCAGCCTCCCTGAGACCAAAGAGCAACATCCAGTTCAAAGACTCATAGCTACATAGATTATCTCATGATATCAATGATAGTTAACATTTATTGTACACTGAAACGATCTGCCACCACTGTTTTAGTATTTATGAATATTATTTTCTTTCTTGCTCATAACAACCTCATGGTGCAGGTACTATTATCACTCTTTTATATTTGAGGAAATCTGGGCACAAATTGTTAAATTACCCAAGGTTATGTTGTTAGTAGGCTGGGGAGCAGAATTCAAACTCAGGCAGTCAGGCGCCAGGGCTTATACTAAATCACTGTGCAGTACCATCCCTCACAAGCAGAATCCACACCTTCCGATGTCTGAGTCTAGTTCTCCCCACTTTAGCCTAAGGCCGATGGAGATTGAGCAGACGGGCTCTGACTACAGACAATGGCCCTCCACTGTGTTGACTTTTCCAGGTTGAGGGTAAGAACTCCATCATCCTGACCTTCAGACAACTGATGGCAGAAGAAGGGCCTTGGGGCCTCATGAAGGGCCTCTCGGCCAGAATCATCTCAGCCACACCTTCCACCATTGTCATTGTGGTGGGCTATGAGAGCCTCAAGAAACTTAGCCTCCGACCTGAGCTGGTGGACTCGAGACACTGGTAACCAGTGGTGGGGGGAGAAGCCTGCTGTTTTCCACACTACCGTGGGTCAGGGGCAGAGTGGAGAGGATGGCACCCTCTCCAGATGCCCCCACCACACACCCAGCCCTGCCCTGGGCCAGGTGGCCTATCTGGGATAGGGATAGAGACTTTGAACTGCTCTTGCTGAAGAGGCTCCACGCCTGGATCCCTTGCCCCCACTATTTAAAATTCTCTTCTGAGCTGGGCTCCCTCACTCAGTCCCTGTATTCCATACTGGCCTATAGGCCACCCCCCACCCTGCTAGCCCTTCTGGCTTCCCCCTCCGTCTGTGTCCCTGAGACCCTGAGAAGAGCTGTACATAGAGCTTGCTTACTACCACTGGTTCTTCCTCTTGGGCTTTCAGCCCAGATTCCAAGCAGCTGCTATCAGCCCTCTCTCCCTTCATCTCTTAGCCTTGCTTATTTTTATTTTGGGACCGAGCTGCCCACTAGATGACTCTGCTTTTCCCTGCACTTGGGGCTAAGGTGCCAGGCACTTATTTGCACAGGGAGCAGGAGCAGCAAAAAATCTCTGGTTCTCCAGAGCACTCGTCCTCTCTTTGGAGGGGTTATTAGGTTGGGGAGAAATGTTGATACTTTTATTTTGTGTGTGTGTGTGTGCGCGTGTGTGTATTAACATCTATGAACCAGGCTATTAGTCCTGCTAAAGCGCCAATCCTGCTGTCAGAGCTCACCCCCTTCCTAAGACAGGTAGAAAAATGTAATGTGACTTTTTCCTCAATTCTAGTTCCCTGTCCCTTCAGTCTCAGGAGCCCCAGGAGAGTCTAAGCTGGGGCATCCCCTGGCCCAGAGGACTCCCGTGGTGGGCACAGTTCTAAGTGGATCAGGCTGTCTTGGGTGCACTGGACTTGGAGCACTGCCTTGAGAAGTCAGGTTGAGAAAGTAGTTGATCTAGAAGGCAACAAGAGGGCATGTGTTCCCCAGCACATCTACCCAGGCCAGCAGAGCCAAACCTAGGAGAGGGCAGTGAGGAGATTCTCTGCCCCAGGCGGCCATAACATACACATAAATACCCCAATCACTCAGACTTATGGCAACAAGTGTTGTCTCACTGTGGCGATCTCTAAGATCCACATCACTGGATGCGTAGTCATCCCAGTCATGTTACCCTGTGGAGGGATACTGGAAGAACATAAAGAGCAGTTCAGAAAGTCACCCAATACAAGGACCACTGCATTTACCAGCCTGATACTGCCAAGATTATCTGATGCTCTCAGGAGCTAGAAGAGGAGTGCTCCTTCTTCCCTGCCTCATCCTCCCTACTGCTACTCCCCCCGAGCCTGTGTTGCAGGTAGAGAGGTGCAGCAAATAGAGAAGGCATGTCAAACCCTGCATTTCTACCTGAGACGTTTGACCTGGATGATCCTCCAAACTCTATTGGTCCCACCCCCTGGGAAAGGCCATGGTGCCAATTTGAAAGGTGCTAGCTACCTGAAGTCTTGATATTTCTTCATGGCTGCCGCACATTCTTCCACCCTGGCCAGAACAGGTTGTGAAAACCACTTCTCTACCTTCACCACCACCACTGTCCATCTTGATCTCATTGAGGGTTTTTCCCTTTCACTTGATTTTATTTTTGTTAATCCCTTCCTGCACTTTGTCAAGAGAGTCCTCCAGTTTCTATCCAGGAATGTTCACATCCAAAGGGTTGGACCCACCAGTCATTCTGAATCTTCCTGCCCCTCCTCACCGCTTTACCCTGAGAACCACAAATATAATGGAAGCAGTGGGGCCCCTCCCCCACCATGTCTTTAAGCTCATCCTAGCAAGACCTCTAGAGACCCTAGAGACTTCAGTCCTTCCCCACCATGGCACAGTGGGGAAAGTGTCAATGGGGAAAGTGTCACGGACGGGAGGTAGGATTCTGCCACTCGCGTCTTAGTGTTTCTCCCCCAAGACTTTCCTTCTGTTGTGTTGTCTTGTGCAGTATTTTACAGCCCCTTTTGTGTTTTATTCTTTGTTTCTCGTACACACACGCAGTTTTAAGGGTGATGTGTGTATAATTAAAGGGACCCTTGGCCCATACTTTCCTAATTCTTTAGGGACTGGGATTGGGTTTGACTGAAATATGTTTTGGTGGGGAATGGGACTGTGGACTTCCATTCTCCCTAAACTGGAGTTTTGGTCGGTAACTAAAGCTAAAAGAAACCTCTGGGAGACTGGCCAAGACGGGAAACCTGATTGGAGCATTGAGAATGAAAAGGCAGACTCTGAACGTTTGATGAAATGGACTCTTGTGAATATTAACAGTGAATATTCACTGTTGCACTGTACGAAGTCTCTGAAGTGTAATTAAAAGTTTTTATTGAGCTCCCGAGCTTTCGCTTGCGCATATTTTTCGGGTCGCGGACATCCCACCGCGCCAAGCCTCGCCTTTCTGCGACCCTCAGCCTCCGATGACTTTCCCGCCCCCGCTCTGCTCGGTGACAGACGTTCTACCGCTTCCAATCGGAGGCGCCCGTCGCGGGAGCGGCCAATCGGGAGCTCCGGCGGGCGGGGAGGCCGGGCCAGTTAGATTTGGCGGTTCAACTTCAACATGGCCGAAGCAAGTAGCGCCAATCTAGGCGGCGGCTGTGAGGAAAAAAGGCATGAGGGGTCGTCTCCACAGTCTGTGCCACCCGGCACTACCATTTCGAGGGTGAAGCTCCTCGACACCATGGTGGACACTTTTCTTCAGAAGCTGGTCGCCGCCGGCAGGTAAAGTGGAGGGAGCCGCGGTGGGAGGGTTTGTCCGCACCGAAGCTCAAATCCCGCGAGATCAGGACGGCCGCAGGCCGGCGCGCGGTCACGTAGGCC